CTTTTTTTTTTTTTTTTTTTTTTTGCTATTTTGGGTAATTTTTGACTCATTCCTCTGGACCTAGCATAGCCCAGAGTACGTGTAACAGGCTTATTGTTTTGGTTGGGGAAGGGGCAAGGGAGTGGTTTGGTTTTTGTTTTTTAACGAATTGAATCTTATATTGCACTGCTAACTAAGACTATCAGATCTTTTCTCTGGCTGATCTTTGATCCTATATTCAATTCAAAAGCACTTTAAATATAGCAGTAAATGCTTCCCCAAGAAGCTTTCTGGACTTGAGCTAAATCTTAACTGATGATATAGATATAGTTATCTACATATTATCTTTTTTTTTTTTTAAACAGGTTTTAAAACTACTACTGGAAATCTGCACTTTGGGCTATTGTGAAAGCTAAAGAAATGGTCTACAAGCATATATAAGGATTTGAAGATTTTAATTGTTGACATATTTTTGGCATATATCACATACATATATATCATTTTTCTCTCTGTTTGGATCTGAGAAACATCATGAGCACAGTAAGTTTTTTTGTTTTTTTAATGAAGTCCATAGAAATCATCTCAATTGATTTTTATTTTGTTTTTTGAGAATAAGGATATATGATCTTAAAGCTTAAGCTTTAAAAATGATCTATTCCAACACTTTTATTTTAGGAAACTGAAGCCCAGAGAAAGGAAATTGTTTGCCTAAGATCATGAAGTTAATTAGTGGAAGAACCAGAAGTAGAATATTGACCTCTAGAGCTAGTCCATTGTTTAAGCCACTGAACTGTACTGTCTCTCATAACTATTTAGTGGTATATTGAACTGAACTCTAACATGAAAGTCAGGGTGCTTTCTAGTTCTGCCTCTAACTCATTGACCTTGAACCATGTCAGTGACTTGACCTTTCTGATCTGGGCTTCAACTGAATCTTATAAAATATAGGGTTTCTGTTCTGGAAATCAGTTGAGAATTAAGGTTTTTGTTTTGTTTTGTTGTAATGCATAAAACATCTTTATATTTTGACTCAGAGAGCCACCTGCAAGGTCATATACATCAAAATATTTTCTTGCACTTTTTGTGATAAGAAGGAATTCAAGACAAAATAAATCATTATCAATTGAGAAATGGCTAAACCCTTTGTGATCTATGAATGTAATGAAATATTTTGCTATATGATAAATATGAAGAATTCTAAGAGAAGCATGGAAAGGTTTAATTGATTCAGAATAAAGGAAGCAAAACCAGGAAAGCCATGACTATAAAATAATTGAAAAAAATAGCTAAAAAAAAAAGATAATACTGTGTAACTGTAATAGAAGCTTGATCCTAGAAGAGAGTTGAAAAACTATACTTCCCTTCGATCTTGGCAGAGGTAGGGAAGTCTTGGTGTAGAGTATTATATAGATAGATTAGTTAATTATATTGATTGGTTTTGCTTAACTTTTTTTCTTCTTCTTAATTTGTTGAAAAAGATGACTTGTTGGGTAGAAGAAGAGATTGATTTGGAAAAGATTATATAAAAATGAAATATAAGTTTTTTAATGTGGGGTTAGAATGTTGATTCAGCATTTATCAAGTGCCTGTTATGTTCAAAGCAGTATAGATACAGAGATGCCTATAGCATAGACCTGGTAACCTTAGGAAAATTACAGTATACAAGGGAGAAAGACATTTTCAAATTTCATCTCTGCTAGTTAACTAGCTCTTGGCATGTCACAGACATGCGCATGCGTGTGTGTGTGCGCGCGCACACACAAAACTTCTCTGGGCTTTTTTCCATTCCCTGATTACAAAATAAGGAAATTGGATTTGATGGCCTCTAAGACCCTTTGTAGCCCTAAGTCTTTGATCTAGTATACACAAATACAAGGTAGAGTGAGATTGGTGCAGAAGATTGGTGAAGACAAAAGTCCTATGACAATTTTGAAAAGTAAGAGATCATGTCATCTGGGGGTGGGTCAGAAGCAGATAGAGGAGACCTTAGCCTTGTTCTCAAGGCAAAGAGGGATTTGGAAGTCAGATACTGGTAGGGGGAGGGTTCCCTTTGAGACGATGTGAATGAATTAGAGGAAGTAGTATGAGATAAGGTTGGAAGGAGGATATGGAGAATCTTGAATGCCTGCTTCAGGAAGTTGTACTTCATTTCATAGGTAATGAAAAGTTATTAAAGGTTTTTGAGGAGAGAAGTACATGCATCAGTATAATGTATTAGAGGATCTTTAAGGTATTTTCCAACTCAAATCATAATGTGGGACTGGTTGTCTTGTTCATTCAACAGATATATATTAAGTTCCTTACTATGTTCAAAACAGTATGGATACAACATAGACCTGGTTCTTAGGAAGATTACAATATACTAGGGAAGAAAAATGTGTTCATATCTTATCTCTGCTAGTTAACTAGCTCTAAACATAATGTTTAGGCTACATGTTACTTAGAATAAATTCTACTTTTGAAAGTTTAAAATAACATTTTTCTTTGTTGTAAGTTATTTTTATGGCATGTAGTGTATCTTATTTATTTAATTGGATTATATACTTAGTAAAACTTGAAAGTAACTAATCAACTTACAAAAACTTGTTTCCAAGTGTGTGTTTTCAGTGTTGTTCACATAGGCATTATCTTTCATGTATGACAGATTGCATGTTCATTTTTAGCACACAAAAAAGTTCTTGCCTTAAATATTAAGTCATACGAGATAAGATCCTAAGATCATGGAGTCCTTCACCAAGGACGCAAGAAGAAATTGCATCCCCTCAGGTTAGACAGGGGTAAGGATTCATTAATTCTAGAGGCATGCCACTAGTTAATGACAGAGTAGTGTTTTGAATTCAAATCCAAAATTCTTTCTTTTTTATTTATTTTTTTTTGGGGGGGGGTGAGGGCAATTGGGGTTAAGTGACTTGCCCAAGGTCACACAGCTAGTGAGTGTTACGTGTCTGAGGCCGGATTTGAACTCAGGTCGTCCTGACTCCAGGGCTAGTGCTGTATCCATTGTGCCACCTAGCTGCTCCCAAAATTCTTTCTACACTACTCAATGTTTCATTTCCATATAACTTATCTTCATCTTGCTAGATTACATGCTTTTTGAGTGTCAAAACTGTATCTTACCTTACTTGTTTTTCCCATAGCATTAAATGTGGTACCTTACACATAGTAAATACACATATCTAAATAAATGAAAAATTGTCTTAGTTGTGCTAAGATTGAACTGTAATTATTCACTGGGAATGTTTCATTCAGGCATAAAAAACTCATTTGTTTTGTCCATCCCTGCTATCTATCTCTCTCATCCCTTTCATGGCTGATCCTTGAGCAATACCATGTGTAACCTGTTCCTTCACTTTTTTTTCCTTATTCTCTTTCTAACTCTGCATTCTGGCTTTCAACTGAAAGAACTATCTCCAGAGTCATCAGTGAACTCCCAATTGCCAAACCTAATAGCTTTTTCTGAATCCCACCCTTCTTTGCCTCTCTGCAGCTTCGACACCATTGATTGCCCTTTTCTCCTTTATATACTCCTTTCTTTGTAGATTTTAGAAATGCTGCGCTCTCCTGGTTCTTTTCCTACTTATCTGACTGCTTGTTCTCAGGCTTCTTTGGTCGATCTTTATGTTATGCCTTGATAATTGTCAATATCAACTGAGAGTGCTCTGGGCCTTCTTCTCTTTTCTGTACTATTTCACTTAGTGAAATCACTACCCATAGATTCGATTATCATCTCTATGCAGATGATTATCAGATTTATTTTTCTAGTCCTAGCATCTCTCTCCTGAGCTCAAGTCTCATATCTTCAAGTGCCTGTTAGACATTTTGAACAGGATGTCCTGTAGACATCTTAAAACTCAACTGAACTCATTGTCTTTCCTCTTAAGCCCTCTCTTCTTCCTGACTCCATTTCCCAACTGTGCCTTTTCTCTGGTTGTACCCAATGCTTAGAAATCTCTCAATCCTCATCTCCCTCTCTTGGCTTCCTTGACTTAAGCCTTTCCCAATCCATCTTAATTCTGATTCTTTCCCTCTAAGATTATATCCAATTTACCTTGCATATAGCTTGCTTGTTCATAGTTGTATGCATGTTGTTATTCCCACTAGACTGAACTCTCCTCCTCGAGAGTAAGGATTTTTTTGCCTTTCTTTGTATACTTAGCACAATGCCTGGCACATAGCACTTAAAGAAATGCTTCTTGACTTGATTTGACAATAGGTAGAAACTATATCAAATAAATAGTTGCTTCCTAGAATAGATAATTTGAGAACCTATGATGAAAGGAAGACAGTAGACTTGGTCCTTCACAGTAAATAATAACTTGTAGAGGAAGTGACCTTGTGTGAACCAGAAATTAAAGAGCACATTATTAATTTCAGCATCCTAGAAAGAAGTTTTAAAAGTGACCTCTCAACTTGAGAAAAGGAAATTAGAACAAAATACAATCCTTAACTTTCATAAGGTAGCGTTCTTGGAAAACAGCACGAAAGTAAGAAAACCATGAATGTTGATAACATTGAACCTGTGAGAAATAGGAGGTTAGGTTCCCATGACCACCAGAAACTAATTTTTTGCAGGAGATTGCTGAAAATGCACTTTTCTGCATACCATTTTTTGTGACAAAACATTGTCTGTTAATATGTAATTTTCCTAACAAACTATGCAGTACACAAAATAAAATTGGTAACCTGCAAAACATTTTTTCCTCACTAGTAATTCCCTAGTATTCTGTGACCTTTTGTACTAATATCTCAATTCAAAAAATTGATTTTAGACAATATTCACCTTTTGTAACACTTGAAATCTGTAGCACCATAAATACTGTACAGCAAATAAAATTCTTAAAACTAAAACATTTTTTAACCTGAATCTTACTTCGTACTGTGTCAGATGGCAACATAAGGGCATTGTACTATATACTATATTGCTGCAAACCTCTTTACCTTGGCTGCTCTCTGATAACCAAAGGAGAGGTTGCTGGGACTTTAGTTGCTGTTGTCAGAAGACGCCAAGACTGGTGAGGTCTTGACATCACCTCCTACACTGTCCTACACAGCTGGTGGATGGGTTGGCGATTGTGAAGCACCAGATTGAAATAATCTATCAGCGACATCAGCATTGTGCATAATTTCTGGGCCTTTAGCAGCTAGAGATGTTCCTGCATGAAGTTTATCTAACATCTTTACTTTCTCACTAAGCCACATCACTGACTTTGCATGCTTGAACTTGGAGCCTAAAGGACTTGCACTGTGCTTTGGGGGCATAATTGCAACACAAAACTTGAATTTTAAGGGAAAATAATGAAAATATGCAATGAATGCATGGGGAGCTCTTTACAATAGTACGTGAACAAGACTAGTGAAGTACTTACTAGGATACCAGCCACTCCACATCTGCATTCCACTTCTGCATGTCACACTTTTTTTTCTCTAAATGTGCACAGTTTGTACCATAAAAGTAAAAATGAGCTTACTAATACAATTACACAGATGCTTGAAGTTAAACATCTGAGTGTTAAGGATTGACTGTATTAGTTAAATGTCAAGAAAATAAGATATAAAGCTACCTACCTCACCAGGCTCTTGTGAGGATTAAATGACATAATATTTGTTTGTTTTTTTAAGCACTTAGCACAGTGCCTGACTCATAGTAGGTGCTATATAAATAGTTATTTACTTATTTCCTCCTTTCCCCCCTTATATAGCTCATAGGAAACTTGAAAACTGTCTTAAATCTTATTGCAAGCCTAGACAAAAGACCTAGGACCAAGCATTTAAATAGAAATTTTCCTTGGATACCTGCCAAGGTTGTAGAGGCTTTTCGGGAAAATAGAGGATATAAGTATAGAAAGAGCTTTGTGATCATCTTCCCTCATTTTACATCAGTAATATAAGAGCAAGAATAAGGAAGGGTTACATACAGGTAGTAAGCAGAGCTAAACTAGTTCTGTGAATTATTGGCATGTTTTGTCACAGAATTCTGTGGCTTAGGTACATGTACTGTTTTCATTAAAGAGAAATAATATGGCCATTTGAATATTTTTCAGCTGGTTTTAGATAATGGATTGAATAAATAATCATAATAAAAGAATATCTTGGAATAATTTTCAAATGAGGAAACCAAGGCCTAAAGTTGTTTAGTGACTTGCCCAGGCCTTCAGTACTTGGGGCTTCTGTGATATATATCATTGGTGTGGAATCATTTCCTTCGACAAGGTTTCTGGACAGGTAGGTCAGGGGCCTACCATAGATTTTGGTAGAGTGTTTCATGAAATCTCTCAGCATATGCCTTTGTGAGCAAGATGATGAGTTGTAGGTTAGGTGATAATGTAGTTAAGTGGATTTGGGAATAATTGAATTGGGTGTACCTGAAGAGCAGTGATTCATATAGATCATTGTCTTACTGAAGGAAAGGTGTCTAGTAACATGCCCCAGCGATCTTTTTCCTTGTGGTATTCAGCATTTTCATCAATACTTCTAGTGAAAGCATAGATCAACAAGCATTTATTTAAAACTAATCTGTACCAGACACTATGCTAAGCACTGGGGATATAAAGACAAAATACAGCGCTTGCCTTCAAGAAGGTTATATTTTTATCAAGGAAGACAATATCTTCCAGTAAAAGTAAGTACAAAATATGTACAAAGAAGCTATGAAATTATTTGGTTGGTTCAGGAGAGGCAGTAGCATCTTGGAACACTAGGAAAAGCCTTATGTAAGAGGTGATACTTGAGCTGAGCTTGGAAAGAAGGTAAGGATTTTGTGATGTGTTTATGGGTAGAGAGCACATTTCAGGCTTTGGGGGGTACAGCTTATAAAAGGCATGGAAGAAGGAAATATGATATGAAGAAAAGTGAGTATACCAGTTTTGTTGGATTGTTCCATGAAAGGGAATAAGATTAAGAGTCTACTGCAATAATCTCGAAGTCATAATTGCTTGAATTAGGGACAACTTATTGGATATAGGAGTTGAGGAGAATGATGACTGTAAGGTTGAAAACTTTAGTAGCATGCAGGAAAATAAGAGGGCTACCTCATGTTAGATGAAAGTGGCTGGATCTGAAAATATTAGACTGAATCTGGTAAGATGAAAGTAGTATGGTAGGAATAAATGTGAAATTCTGTACTTGGGTTAAAAAAAGTAAACTTAACAAATAAAAGTTGGAGAAGGCCTAGCTAGAGAGCATTTTGTTTAAGAAAGATTTGTGTTTTGATAGACTGCAAACAATATGATATGGCAGCCAAAAAAGTAAATGCAGTCCTATGTTGTTTTCAGAAAGACCTCTTGTACAGAAAAAAGAAGTGATAATTCCACTGTACTCTCTTCTGGTCAGACTACAGCTGAAAAACTGTTCAGTTTTGGGTGCCCCATTTTAGGAAGGACATTTACAAGATAGAATTTTTCCAGGGTGGTGAGTGTTTTTTATAGTAGAGCTCATGCTATATAAGAATCAGATGAAGGAACTGAGAGTGTTTAGCCAAAAACAAAGATTTAGGGGAGACATCATAGCTGTCTGCAGGATCTTCGTGTGAAAGATGGATTGGACTAGTTTTCTATAACCTCAGCTTATAAACCTTGGAGTGGTGGGTAGAAGTTGCAGAGAAGCAGATTTCAGCTCAATAAAAAGAAAAACTCAACAATTAGAGCTTGTCCCAAAGTAAAATGAACTTCCTCAGGAAATAATGGGTTCCTGGTTATTTGAAGCTTTCAGGAATTTTCAGGCATTTCAGTCTCTATTGGATCTTGGCCAGGGATGTTAAAGAGAAGGTTCCTTTTCAGTAAGAATTTGGATTAAGTGATTTGTAAGGTCCCTTCCAATTCAGATTCTAAGATTGCAGTCCCCGTCTTACACTTTAGGACAGATGGTCATCATGACTTACTGTGGCTAAAACAAATAATTGCCTGATGACCAATCCTCTGATAATGAACCTCTCTGTATTTAGCAGTGTTCTGCCTTAAACGACACATCACCCATTACTCTACCTACAACTGGAGCCTTACCAGTTTTTTAAGCCATACTAGGGTTTTAGATCAGCTGATAAAATACTGAAAAACCCAAGATCACTACCATCAAAGTGTGCTTTAGTAGTGTATCAAATTTAATCATAGTTTGTTCAGTCTTTCCAAACAAAAAGAAGTTCTGAGCAGTTGTGTTGAAAGTTTATTTCATTTGATGAAAACAAAAGGAAAATTGACCAAGTAGGGAAAATAAGAAAAGTCAAAAAACTATGTGTGGATCTCCAAAAGAATGATAAGCACCTTGCAAGGGATTCTAAAATGTATGACAAAGGATTTTAGTTGGAATCCAAAGCCATTTAGCTGCTCTGGCAGGTTAACAAAATTTGTTTATAAAATCAAAGTATTACAGGGACCTGAAGGGACCTGAAAGTGTTTCTACCCAAATCATGAGTCCTGTCCACATCATTGAAAACACCATAATAACGTCATCTGTTTTTTGTTGTGTTTATTTTGTTAAATATTTCCCAGTTATATTTTCATCTGGTTCCTGTGATACTCAGGAATGTTGCAACTATGTGTTTGATATCTCTGATCTAGATTCCACTTGAAGAACTATGTTAACTGGCAAATTACATTCCCCTAAATCAGAGCATTACATTTTTGGACAGCTCAACTTGCTAGGAAATTTTTTCCTTATTGACCTGAAATCAGCCTTCCTCTAATATCCTACCCATTGATCTTGCAAAACATTTAATCCTTTTCCCACATCACAATCCTTAAGATATTTGAAGATCACTATCATCTCCCAACAAATTTTCTCTTTATGTTAACCATCTCCATTTCCTTCAACCAGTCCTAAGATGGTATGGTCTTGAGTGCCCTCACCATCCTAGTCTTCCTCTGGTTGTGTTCCAGCTTCCAGTGTCCTTAAAATGTGGTGTCCACTACTGGTAATATTCCAGATGTAGTCTGGAGGATAAAGAAATAATCACAAACTCTGACTGTGGACCCCAGATGTATGTTGGTGTGCAGTCATAAGATCACATTTGACTTTATAAACCTTGAAACATTACATAATTATGAGCTGCTACTATTATAAACTTTTTTGGCTCCTATTTCACATACAGATTTTGTCTTTTAAAACCACTCTTTTTTTTTTTTTCTCCTTATGGGACCTGTTTCTTATCTACATCTCCTCCCCATCTTGTACTTGTGCAGTAGATTGTTAAACTCAAATGCCAAACTTAAAATGTATACCTATGTAAAGTCTTCTATCTGAGTTGAAATAATTTTGATCTTTTCATTAATCATTTAATTTATTTTTATCCTTAATAGACTCAAAGAAAGCGCCGAGGTGGAACAACAAATTCTAGACAGCCTCAAAAACGAGAACGATTAGTAGGTCCAACAACTGAGATGACTTCAGAAGCTGAGCCAATAGAACTTGTAGAAAGTGGTAAGTATACAAATAAAATTGATGGAGCCTCTTATTTCAGAAAGATATTGAAGGACCTAAATGTTGAGAATTATTTTGGAAACATCCCATCTCCAAAATTTTTTATTCCAAATTTAAAGGCAGTTTTTGTTATAGCCATTCCTATTTTTGTCCCAAAATGTTCCCAGGTTTCTAAAACTTGAAAACGAGAGTTTGGTTTAACTGGTAATTCACAGCGTGTAAGGTTTGTAAGGTAATGGGCTCTCTTTTTTTCCTTTAAATTTGTCCTTTTGTCTCGTTGTTACTTCATGAAAGACCATAACCTTCTTTCTTGGTTTTTCATGAAGGGGACATAAAACTGTGACTTACAGGAAAATTCTAAAGCCATGGAATTGACAGTATGAGGGATGAGGGAAAGAATTTTATGCTGGGCTACCCTTGTGAGTGGTCATCTTGTCCTCCCTGTACCAAAATGATCTTAAAGGCTTCCAGAAAAGGTGACATTTTTCAAATCATTTCTGCCTCGTGAAATAATTTTGAATCATTGCTAGGAGCCATGTAGTAATTCTTACTGTGCTCCTGATAACTCAGTTATCTCTATTTCATATCTGTTTTCAGCAAGGATTTTAAAAAACGGTTGGCTATTTGTAGCTTTTTGTTGTGTTGTTACCTCCTAAGCACGAGTTTTTTGGTGATACTTATAACCAATCATATTGAAGGCCGGTGTTCAGATATTTATAGGGAGCTATTCTTCAGTGAGATTTCTAAATTTGTAAGGTAGTGTATATATAATCCTTAGGGTTCCAGAAATGTTTCTGAATTCCAGACTCAAGGTAGGGCAGACTGTCTAATAAAAGAAAAAAAAGGCCTGGTGGTGGTGGACTAGAAAGATTTAGTATTAGGATAAGGATGCTGATAACTTCTCTATTTCTCTGGAGTCAAATTTGCATGGGTACAGGATATTTATTGAGCTCTGCTGAACTTTATTATCAGTTTTCCTGATGCTTGTTATAAAATGCTTCCTTTTAAAGCTGGAGAAGAGGTGGTGGACCTCACCTGTGAATCTACTGAACCGGTGGTAGTGGATCTAACTCACAATGATTCTGTGGTGGTAAGCATCCATAATACAGATTGAGTTGGAGACTACTACCAGGTTTTAGCTATCTGGGCAATCAAACTGGTCTAGTGACTGTCACATCTTAAGTATAAATTACTTTCAGAGGAGCAGAAATACTGTATTCTAGCAAGCAGATAATTGTTCATGTGGTATATCATGTATATAAAGACCTTTACAAAACCTAAAGGGCTATAGAGATGATATATATAGATGTTATAGAGATATTATTATTCTGTGTTATCAAACATAAAAGATATAATGCTTTAGAACATTCTCCAAAAGTTATTTAAGTACTAGAAGGACATCTAGTTGTATAAACATGAAGACACAGAAATGCGTTCCTCTGTTTTGGAAATAAATGTTTCTTAACAAAGAATCTGATCACTCTCCAGCCCTAAAAGATGGATTACTCCCTTTATTATCTGGCCTAATGGTGCCACATATCATACTGGAAGTAATTTGGGCTTTCTTTCATTTCATAATATTTTAAAATATATTTATTGATGTAATATGTACATTAGTATTTTTATAATAGGCATCTCTTTAGTCTCTCTGCTATACTGATTCTGAGAACTCTCAGTGCTTGGTCTCTTTTGGCAACGATATTAGGTTATAGTGGAAAAACTTAGAATGACAGGCAGTCAGAGCTGGAATGGACCTTAGAAATCATCTAGGCCAAATGACTTGCCTTAGGTCACAGACTTAAGTGGGGCACAATCTGGAACACCATGCAAGCCTACCTGGTTGTCATTTTACTGTATTACTCCTCTCATAGTGCTGCAAGTTAAAAGATGCTGACTTTCTAACTATTGTAGGAATCAGTATTAGACTTAGACTCAGAGTTTAAACCCTAGATTTGCATCTCAATATTGATATGGCCTTGACCAAGTCGTTCTCCTCTGGACCTCAGTTTCTTCATCAGAAAAATGAGGTAATTGAATTCAGTCTCTAAAATTCTTTTCCGGGGGCAGCTGGATGGTGCAGTGAATAGAGTACCAGCCCTGGAGTCAGGAGGACCTGAGTTCAAATGTGACCTCAGACCAAACACTTGACACTTACTAGCTGTGTGACCCTGGGCAAGTCACTTAACCTCAATTTCCTAAAAAATAAAAAATAAAATTCCTTTCAGCTTCAGAGGCTCCTAATCTGTGCTTTAGAAACTATGGATTGTGTTTTTAAATTTCATGACCTGAGTGGGAGGAATTCTAGAACCATTCTGTTCTTCTCAAAGCTCTTTGAAAAATAAAAGAGAAAGGGGCAGCTAGGTGGCGCAATGGATAGAGCATTAGCCCTGGATTCAGGAGGACCTAAGTTCAAATCTGGCCTCAGACACATAACACTTACTAGCAGTGTGACCCTGGGCAAGTCGTTTAACCCCATTGCCTGGCCCCCCCAAAAAATAACTAAATAAAAGAGAAGGGCCTTTATTGTGCTTCTGTCACCCGTGGAATATATTGAGATACACTGTCTTACACCATGGAATCTTTTGTTTTGTACACTAATGGGAAAGAAAACAGTTGCCTCAGAACCCTCCTCCTTGTTTTATTCCCTTCCCCTAGTTTGGGTCTCCTGTACTTCTAATTGTTGCGATTTGTCCTTTGTTCTCAAAGAGGACCATGACATCAGGAAAGTGATGACGTGATGACTTGCAAGTGAATTGGACTTAAGTGAGGCAGTGCTGTGCAGAGTCGTTAGCCTCACTCTCTCCTCTGGAGCCATCTGGGTTCAGTGGCAAGATATAGATCAGGACAACTGGAGATGGCGCCAGATACAGTGAGAGACTTTGACCTTTTTAAGCTAAGGTCTTTCCTAGGTCTGTTTGTCTGAGGCGACACCAATTCGGTGATTAGGATAGGTAAGAAATGAGGCAAAGAATGGCCTGTTTTAGCTAGTAAAACAAAAAAAAAAAAACTGCTCAATCTGGGAGGGGAAGACTCAGGTTTCTGGTCAGAACAGAAATAATTGCTATTTACACTCACCCTGAGCCATCAGGAGCCCAAACAATGACCAAGTGAAGCTTGGACTGGGACCTATTTTTGGCCAATCAGTGAGAGCCAGAGTGATTTGGGTTTAAGACATGGTCCTTAAAAAGAAATCTAGCTTGTAAACCCCAAGATATCTTGCAAAGTTTCAGCGATCAAAATTTATATTCCTTTGGGTGCTCTACCCAAGGTAAGGGTATGATTCCCTGTGTGGACAGAGTAAGAGGAGGGGAGGAAGGAAGAAAGGATGGTCAGTCTGCTATGTGCCAGGCATTGTGCTAAGTGCTTAAAATAGTATCTCATTTGATCCTCACAGCAACTCTGAGAGATAGATGCTATTGTTCTCCTCATTTTACAGATCTAAGGCTTGATCTCATCATCACTCAAACAAAGAACTCCAAAATCTCCTTATCTGACCATATTCTATTTGCTTTTTTACCTCTTTTGCCTTCCCTTACAAAACCTGTCATCACTCTGAACTTCAGTCTTTTGACCCCTTAATTCTCTACTAGGCCATCTCCCTGCACTAGCCATTCTCTCCTCTTTTCCTCATCTTGACCTGTTAGGGAACCAATTTAATGCTATGCAGTCTTCCGCTCTTGAATTCCTAGTCGCTTTATTATATCACCAGTTATGCTTAGCCAAGCCTCAGCTTTGGATCACTCTCACTGTTTGTTGCCTTTGCTTACAACTTGTTCTTTACCCAATTGTTTTGACTGGGTCTATTACAAATTCATGTTACACAGCCTCATCTGGGCCCTCATTGCTGCTAGGTAGTCCTACTCTACCTCCCTTATCAACTCACTCTCCCACTCTGCACAGTAGCTCTTCCAAACCTTTTCATCCCTTCTGAAACCTCCCATGGATCCCCATCCCTTACCTTGTCAGCTGAGAATCTTCCCTCATTCTCTGTGAGCACTTTCTTCTCACCTCTTCCTCATCTCCTATTACTCAGGTGCCTTCTGCCATTATCTCCTTTATTGCGGTCTCACGCGATGATAATCCTAACACCCTCAACCTGTTCAAGTGACCCCATTCCATTCCATCTCCTCCATCAGATTGCCCTCTGTCATCTCCACTCTTTCATTTCTTTTCAGTTTTTCCCTTTCTGATGGTTCATTTCTTACTGCCTATAAACATACCCATGTCTCTCCCCCTTCTGAAAAAACCATCACTTGACTCTTTCATCCCATCTTATATCTCTTCTGCCCTATGTAGCCAAACTCCACATAAAGGCCATCTGTGATAGATGCCTCCACTTTTCTCTCTTCTCACTCTCTTTTTATCCCCCTTATAAAATCTGGCTTCTGGCCCTTCTGTTCTTTCCAAAGTTACCACTGATCTCTTAGTTGCCAAGTTCCTTTTCTCATTCCTCATTCTTATTGACCTCTTTCTAGCCTTTGATACTATTGATCACTCTCTCCTCCTTGATATTTTCTTTTCTTTAGGTTTTTGGAACATTACTTTTCTGGTTCTCCTCCTACAGGGACTGGCACAGAACAAGTTATAAATGTTGATTGATAGATTGACAATCTTCTGTATCACTTTTGCTATTCCTCTTTCAGATCACGCTCTCTAACCATTGGTGTTCTTCAGGGTTCTGCCATGTGCCTGGTTCTTTTCTCCTTGTATTCTATTTCATTTGGTGATCTTACCAGCTCCCAGTGATTTAATTACCATCTCTGCACTAATGATTCTCAAATCTACCTTTCTTGCCCCAAATTCTGTGTTGACTTCCAGTCTCACAACTCCAACTGCCTTTTAGTCATCTTGAACTATATGTCCAGTTGACTTCTTACACTCAACATGTCCAAAACAGAACCCATTATCTTTCCGCTAAATGCTCCTCCACCCTCCTCCTTCCCTGTTAATAGGGCAACACCATCCTCCCAGTCCCTCAGGCTCACAACCTAGGAGCCATCCTGAATTCCTCACTATCTCTCACCCCCTATATGCAATCTGTTGCAAGGCCTATCAGTTTTACCTTTGCAATGTCTCTCAAATAACACCCCCTTCTCTCCTCTGACAATGCCACCACTCTGGTGCAGGCCTTCATCATCTCATGCCTGAATTATAGCAATAGCCATCTGCCTGCCTCAAGTATCTCCCCACTCCAATTCACCTTTTATTCAGACAGTGAAGTGATTTTCCTGACCTGTAGGTCCAACCTTCTCCTTGCCCCCCCCCCCCCAACTGCAGCAGCTGCCCATTGCTACCAGGTTCAAATACAAAATGCTTTTAGACATTGAAAGCCCTTCATAGCCTAGGGCTCCCTCAATTTCCCAGTCTTCTAAGTCCCATCTAAATCCCATCTTTCACTGGAAGCCTTTCCTAATCCCTCTTAATTCCAGTGCCTTCTGTTAATAATTTCCTGTTTATCTTATACATACCTTACTTTGTATGTATTTGTTTGTATATTGTCTCCCCCAATAAGTTGTAATCTCCTTGAGGGCAGGGATTGTCATTTTTCCCTCTTTTTGTATCCCCAGTGCTTAGCAGAGTGCCTGGCACATAGTAGGCACTTACTAAATGTTTATTGATTGATTGACTCAAACAAATTAAGTGACTTGCCCAGGATCACACAGTTAATAAGTATCTGAGGTTGAATTCGGAATTGTTTTGAATTACTGTATTGATTGAGTACCTAAGGCTTTCACAGTTGATCATCATTACAGCAGTGCTGTTACTATACTCAATGACCTCCTGATTCTTCTCTCTTTACTTTGCATCAGTTCATTTAGGTCTTGCCATGTTTTTCTGAAACCACCTCCCTTATTATTTCATACAGCACCATAGTACTACATCATAATCATAAACCATAACTTGTTCAGCCATTCTCCAGCTGATGAACCATTCCCTTAATTTCCAATTTTTCACCACTATAAAAAGAGCTTCTATAAATATTTTTGTATTTTCTTTGATCTCTTTGGGATATGGACCAAGAATAGCATTGCTCGATCAAGAGGTGTGCACGGTTTTATAGCCTTTTGGACGTAGTTCCAGATTGTTTTC